CCCTCGGAGGGGACATGTGGCATGGCGACAGCAGCCTGGCGGCCCCGGGGCCGCAGCCTAGCCGGGGCTCCCTAAAGCTCACTCTCAGAATGGGCCGTTACCGTGGAAACAGGCACCGTTCAACCCTTCCTCCGCTTCCAGTCCATCTCCCCTCAGCCCCGGGGAAGCCACAGTGTCAGCCAGGCTGTCCCTTGTCTAGCAAAGCCAAAGTCTAATTGAATTTATTCCTGGGGAAGACGTAGGCTCAGGAAGCCACAGGGAGTTCCTCCAGCAAATATTAGAATTTGAAATAAATACCCGTAAACAGAACAAACCTGATCTGGATCCAGAACAACTCGGTTGCACATTGCTTTCCCATAACAATATTTGAATACTAAGGAAATAAGATTGCAAAATAACATGTTAATGAGAAAGCATGGGTTAAAAAGGAGATAAGAAATCAAAGGTTTGGTTTTAAATGTCCTAGCCTCTAAGCTATCGTTCTGTAGCCTTACCAGAGATTTGCCAGGAACCAGGGCAATGGCTGTAATCAGGTTTCTGACTGACAGTGCCATGCAGCCAGCAGCACGGCCCCAGCATGCAAGCGTTAGGAAGTACTAAGAGAAGCAGCACTTTCTGGTCTAATTTGGGAGGGCTTATGATGCATTCCTGTAGCGTCACACGGCTCTTTCTGTTTCCATATGAGCATGGCTGGTAGCTGATAGGAAAATGAACTTGTGTGCTCTCGGGGAAGTTTTAAAAACCACACAAGACTGTAACAGTAACATCATTTTGCTGTGACTTTAGGTGTGCATTATCAAAAACATTACAGTTGTGATCATAGCCACAAGTAAATTTCTGTGTTTTTACTTTCTTCCCATCTAGCACTGTTGATTTCATCGGAAGTTGCTATTTCACAGAAATCTGCAAATGCAAACTGAAGAACATCGCATGTTTGAAGTGGTAAGAATGCCATTCGATGACACTGACACCACCTCGAGCACGCTGCAATGCTGCTTAACCTTCTCACTGCAGCTACTGCAAGAGTTAAGGGATGAATGAACAGATTGCATACTCCATTTCAAATTTAATGCTGCTCGATAGAAACTCAGCCCACTACTTCTGGGCATGGCTGCCAGTCTATTTCTGTGCAAGTCCCCAGTGGAAATGTGACAACCTTGTCACTAGTCTGAGTATATGGGAAAGCTTGCATGCCACCTGCCTGATTAAATGTCTGCTTCAACACTGAGATAATTGTGTGAATAAGGCTGCAGTAAGAAGTAGTTACTCACATTCTAATTAATAGAACATCCTCTTGGCAGATCGAGTTGTTGCTAGCAGATGGAACATGCTGTCACTAAAGTTCTTGGAGTTCTTTTATCCTCTTTATTAATGCCTGATATTTAAGAGTGAAAACAACAACTCTCAAATAGCTCACAGTTATTTGAGAAGATCCATTCATCTTCATAACCAAGATTTTTACCTTGTTCAGATTTAAACAGCGGGAGATTGTGATAGGAACACAGTATTTTATTTTTTAGGCAGAAGTAGAGAAACAGAAATCTCTCACCAGAGCGCATGACTGAGAAAGCAGGAAAATGGTTTCAGCCTAGGAGAGCAGAAAAGGCTTTGATATTCTCAGTCTCATTACTCCTCCTGCTGATCCTCTCCTGTGCACAGTGCTTCTGTACACAGGGATTTTATGTGCACGATGAACTTCTACATGGTTTCCAATGGAAACACCGTTTGTTGGCATGTGAACTAATCTGGATTACACAATTTAGGTTACTAAATGGTTCTCTATGCCAAAGATCTAAAACTGAGATATTCTGTAACTCCCGACAGATGTTCCCTAAATATTTAAGATGCTTCTTTAACTGTGTTCCCTTAACTTTATCAAAATAGGAGCATTACATACTGGACTGGTACCGTGGCTATTTATCACTAGTTTGAGCTGGAAAAGCCAACACCATTTCTCTTTGCATCAGTAATTTGTGTTGCTCGTTATTTCCCGTCTTTCAGTGGTAACATCGTTGGTTATCACGTAATTTCTCCCTGCAAACCTTGCCTGCTGTCCTGCAACAACGGCCACTTCTGGATGTTCCATAGCCAAGCAGTCTTTGGCATCAACAGGCTGGACCCTTCTGGTAAGGAACACATATGTTTCCTTCTCTTCCCTAAAATCTTGAATTCTGAGTCCTCCTTCTAATGAGGCATCTCCATGTAGCTAAAGCATATGGAGGGAGTGTAACATATGGAGGCATAAGGCAAGTGTTACTGTATTGCTAATCTAGCAAACTACTCTGGGGGAGGTGGTTGTAGCTACTCCATAAATGAAATTTATCTTCATCAAAAAGCTTAACCTAGCCCTTTTGCGGACAGAAGTCAGGATTTTCTGGAGCAATATTATAACTAGTGTAAACACAGCCACCAGCTACTATTTTCAGCAGTACGTATAGCTTCGCTGCGCTAGCAGGCAGCTGTCCAACGGGCACTCTTTTTGGGTGAGTCACGTTGCCACTTTGACCCTACACAACTGAGTCCTCATTAGCTCAAGCTGGAGTTAAGCTCACGCTGGCTCGTTCCTTCAGCGAGGCGTTGCCTGGGTGCCAAGTGTCTGCCACAATTTGCCTCGAGCCCTCAGGAGTGCAAGCAATCTGACAAATCATTTCTCCTCCTTGCAGATGGGAGTACCTTACTGCCTCAACCTTTCAGTGTCACCTGTGTTTCAGATGCATTCAAAAATAAATCAGCCATGAGGGGATTATCAATAGCTCCATGAATTAGCTATATAAATACATCTGTGGGGAGGGACTTACTCTTTGAACTATGCTGTAAACAACATTTACAACAGCACTTTGGAAGAAAAATTGGAAATGGTCTAGATATACTTATCATGAACGTGGCTTATCAGGTTTTGCAATGGTTAGTTATTTTCTTTGGAAATAGTTGTGCAACATAAAAATACAGTCACAATCCAAAAACGCCTTTTTTTTACCTCCTTCCCACCAGGTGTGAATGTGTTGCTCTGGGGCAACCTGCCAGATTTGGAGGAAAGCACAGATGAAGATACGTCCTGCATCTCTGAGGAGGAGTATATCAGATAAACGTTACCTAGGGTATCTTCCCTAGATTTGGGTTGGAT